AGATTTTTCATTTTTACCAAAATAGGGCAATTTTTAGGGAAAGACCCAATACTGGATAATAAACTTAAGATTAGACTAGTTGCTAAGTAGGGCATTCAGTGCCAAAGCCACCACGTAAAGTTTGGCCAAATGTGTTGTGTTTTGGTTTCTCTTCTTTATTGGGACATTTTGGTTAGAGGATGGAGAGAGCAACATCCACTGAGTTCTGTGGTATATGATGGTTAGAACTGACGTTCCTATTTTTCACTCTGTTAATTATCACAGGTTTCCCAGGATGCCAAGGCCTGGAGGGAAATAACTTCCTCTGATACCCTGGCATCATGCGAGGGACTAAGGATGAAGAAGTGACACCCTCCCGCAGGTGGACTATCCCAGACAGCCAAGAGTTTGGCTCCAGCTTGTGCCAAGCTTGTGGAGTTATCAAGGCTAATGAGCCTCTACTTCCTAGAGATTCCAGCAGGTAGCCAGTCATTTCTCGTTTTCATGGTTCATAGCACAGGACCTAGGGGGCAGGTTTTTTTTTTAACTCAGAAGGCCTGGGAACACTTGTCACCATCACAAGTATAGAGACTCCATGAGGCATGAGAAAGGTTATCGAAGCCTCTGCAGTGAAGTAGTATGTGTTTGTTAGTTTGTGGGTTTTTGTTAGAAGAATAACATGAGTACCTATTGGTTTTATTTTGTACATAAAATTTATAATTAAGGAATTTGTTGCCACTGAACCCAGAATGAACCAAGAGATGTGGTTTATTAGTCATTAGTAACTGCCATGGTTGTATCTCTTAGGAAATGATGTTAACAATGTAGTGTGTCCAACCTGTGCTTCTGGAGAAAGGTGGAAATTATGATCTTTTCAGCAATGATTGCGTATGACGGTAAAACTTTTGAGGTACTCCCTTGGGTACACTGGAAATGGTGAATTGTGTCCCATCACAGGGAGAGGTAAATGCCAGCTATTGAAGTAGTTACTGAACAAAACATTTAAGGAACTCTATTAGAGCAAAATATTTACTAGTTGTCCATTGAGTGGAATCTGTTATTTTAATAATTTGGTGATTGGGTATGGGGACCACAGCACTGAAGTTGTAGAAATCCATCATGATGGGTTCTTTATTTTTTCCTAGATTAAAGAATAAGCAAAATCTGGCTGTCAATTTTGGAACATTGGGTACAATGTCTGATTTTGCATAAAACATTTTGATCCTTGAAGGCCTTGTTTTAACATATTCTGAAACATTTAACTATTTTAACTGAATTTATCTTTTAATATTTCCTTTATATTTTTAAGTTATATATAGTAATTGAACATATTAAAGTGGTTCTGTGGGATATTTTAACACATGCATAAAGCATGATCTGATCAAATTCAGCCTCCCTTTATCCAGTATCCACGTACTGACCCTTCCCAACCTGTCATAATCAATCACTATTTTAAATTCAAGTTGACTTTTTTCACTTCGAGAACATACTGTTTTTGTGTTTCTCTGTCAGGCTTATTTTACTTATGGCTTCATTTCAATCCCTTTTACTGTAAATAACAGAATTTCATTCTCTATGGCTGAAGGAATATTCCATTTTGCACATACATACCACATTTTCCTTATCCACTCATGTGTTGATGGCACCTGTTCTCACTCTGTGTCTTAGCCTCTTGTGAATAGTGTTGCAATAAACGTGGGCTTACAGGTCATAGATGTACTCATGTAATTTCCTTTGGTGTATACCTAAAAGTGAGATAGGTGGATCATACAGTAGTTCTATTTTTAGTGTTTTGAGGAACCTCCATACTGTCCTCTTACAATGGACTGATGTACACCCCACTAGCAGTTTATGAGAGCTCCTCTGTCTCTACATCCTTATCAGTGTTTGTTATTTTGGGGTCTTTTTGATAAGAGGCATTCTAACCAGAGTGCAAGGAGATCTCATTCTAATTGTGACTTGAATTTCCCTGATGCTTAATGATATTGAGTATTTTTATGTATTTGTTGTAATTCTTCTTTTGAGATGTGTCTATACAGATTATTTGCCAAATTTTATTAGCATATTTAAATTGTACAAAGAGGTTCCATTGTGATATTTCCATAACAAGCATAATATGGACTTTAATCAAGTTTACAGCCTGTATTAATGTTTCATATTCCCCTCCTCACTTTTAAAGCAATTTTGATGGATTTCATTTTTCTATTTTGATACAAGTGTATAAAGTACTTCAATTATATTCAACCCTCATTCATCCTTTCCTTTCACCCTCCCCTCTCCCAGTGGTCCCCACCCCAAGGTAGTCTCTGTTTTATATTCATGTCATTTATTTTCTTTTGGTTAGGTATGGATTCCACATATGAGAGGAAATATGCAATATTAGTGTGACTTAATTTATTTAACATGATGATCTCCAGATCTCTCCATTTTCCTGTTCATGACATAATTTTATTCTCCTATGTGGCTGAATAATAGTCCAATGAATGCGTATGTATGTGTGTATGTGTGTATATATTTATGTGTGTGTGTATGTCTGTTTATCCATCCATCAGTTTTTGCACACCCAGCCTGATTCCATGATTTGCCTATTGTGCACAGTGCTGCTGTAGACGTGGTGTGCAGCTATCTCTGTTGCGTGCTGACTTACATTCCTCCACAGGTCTGCCCAGGAGTGGTGTAGCAGGATCATGTAGTGGTTCCCTCTTCAGTTTATTGAGGAAGCTCCATAGCTCATTTGCCAGTTATTAAACTGGATTACTTGTTTCCTCTCATTAAATTTTTGAATTCCTTGCATTTTCTAGATGTTAATGCTTTGTCAGAGAACAGTTGGCTGCTACTGCCACTGGGTTGCCTTGGACATCAGCACCAGATCCACTACTGTTTCTGCCACTCCTGGCTCTCCTGTCTCTCTTGCCTTTGCAGCTATCAGAGCACCCATTCCTGTTACCCCACTACTGCTGAAACCTCTGCTGGTTCCTCTTCTCTTTTTTGCATGTTACTAGCTCAGCTGCTCTACTAATGAAGAAAACCAAAAGTGGGTAAGAAAAGTTCACTGGAGAGAAGTCTTTATTAGGCTTACTATTGCAACACCAGGGGGCAGCAGAGGAGGGTGTCTCCAGGCTGAGTCACAAGTCAGCCTAACCACCTACTTATATCTCCAGGAAAGGGGTGTGACAAGGTCTGCACCAATCATGGCACACTTCATATCCTAGCCAAAAATGTGCTTGGCAGTCAGCTGTGGTTGTCAAGTCACCTCTTGAGGGCTCCAGAGTGTTCAAAGCAGCTGGCGCTGGTAGGAGGGCTGTCCTTGGCTTGGCTGGTAGTCCTCCTGCCCTAAAGTCTTAGTATATTGAAAGGAAAATGAATGCTAAATGGGTGCTTACAATAAAGACCTATATTTGACATTAACAATGACTTAACAGTACTTAACAGTGCTTAACTCTTCTTCCAGTCCCTCAGGGACAAGTGGGCCCTCTTGTCTGTTCTTTACTTGCTATCTAGCATCCTTCATTTCCATTTATTGTATCTTATGGGCAGGAATCATGGTTATGACCTCCTCAGGTTTTGTTTATCTGGGAATATCGTATTTTTCTCTCTCATGAGAGAGGAGGTTTTGTCAGGTACAGAATTCTTTCTTGACTAGATTTTTTCTATCAGCATTTTGAATATATCATCTTATAGCCTTGGGGCCTGCGACATTTCTGATAAGCACTCAGGTGAGAATCTTATGGAGGATCTTGTTTGAGGTGAGCAATATGTCTCTGGACTTTTTCAATGTTCTCTCTTTACTTTAGCTTTTGATGGTTGGATATACTGTGTCTCCATCTTGGTCTGTTTGAGTTTAACCTACGTGGAGTTAGCCCAGAGTCTGGATTTCTAGACTCAGTTATTTTATCAACACTCATGGCTTGGGACATTAGTTTTTCAGATAATCTTCGCCCCTCTCTTTTTGTCTCATCGCTCTCCTCCTGGGATCCCATAATGGGTGTGTGGAACCACCTGATGGTCCCCTCCAAGTCCTTCGAGTTCTTTATTGTTTTTCCTGTCTGCACTACAGACTCTCTGACGTTATCGCCACATTTTCTGATTCTCACTTCTGCCTGCTCACTTCTGTTGTGGAGCCTCTCCAATGAGCCTCTCAGCTATTGTGCTTTTCAATTCCCAAATTTCTCCCTTTTATGATTTCTTTCCCTTTGTTGCTGTTCTCATTTAATTATTAATGCTCCTGATTTCCTTAGTGCCTTGTCCATGCTTTCCTTTACCTTTCTGACCATGTCTAAGATAGTTATTTTATAGTCTTGGTCTGCGATCAGGATGTGCCCAATAGATCACAAGAGTCTTGACAAGAAGGAGGCGAGAGGGTCAGAGATGGAGAAGGATGTGTGATGAATGTAGCGGGAGGATAAGTGATAAGAAGATGAGAACCAAGCAAAAAGAATCCTGGCAGACTCTCAAATGTGGTTAGGCCAGGAACAAAGCCTCTAGGGACAAGTGCACCCTGATGACCTCTGAATAGTTGTCTAGTGACACCAAATTAGGGTGTTTGATGTCTAGACCAAGAAATCATGAATTTTTCTGTTTTTTGTTGTTGTTGTTCTTTGTTTGCTTGCTGGATGAACCAGGTCTATGTATACTGGCCATATCACTTGAGCTGTGCCTCAGCCGTTTTGCTTTTAATTTTAGATAGGGTCACGTTGCTACCTTTGCCCTGGATTAAGCTCACAATCCCCTTCTCTCTGGAGGAGGTGTGGATACACAAATGTGCCAGCACCTGAGGCTTAAATTTCTATTGTTTTGTTCCCCTAAAATTTCAAAACGTTGTCACATCAGCAATAGAAAATTAACATAATGTGATTATACCATGGGGAAAAATCCTAGGAGTTTTAACCTGATCACATACACAATGTGATGAGTTCAAGTCCTACTCACACTGTGCACTCAGTCACTGAAAGTCATTGATAAAACTTGAGAAACCCCCGCGGGTCCCCTCATGACGCACAGTAACTGCTGTTTCCCTCCAGGAGCTGCTGCACAGGAGGAGCTGCAGGTGATTCAGCCTGACAAGTCAGTGTCTGTCGATGCTGGAGAGACGGCCACTCTGCGCTGCACTGTGACCTCCCTGCTCCCTGTGGGGACCATCCAGTGGTTCAGGGGGGAAGGATCAGGCCGGGAATTGATCTTCCGTAAGAAAGGAGGCCACTTCTCCCGCGTCACACTACTTTCAGATGGCACACAGAGGGACAACATGGACTTCTCCATTCTCATCAGTAATGTCACCCCAGCAGACGCCGGCACCTACTACTGCGTGAAGTTCCAGAAAGCCGGTGGCTCTGAAGACACGGAGTTTAAGCCTGGACCAGGCACCGATTTATTTGTGCGTGGTGAGTATCTGTGGCCGTCCTTTGTCCCCTAGGGAAAAATAACGGGTCAAGAATAACGCCCTCTGTTCTGTAGCGACAGCTAACGAGCAGGTGCAGGAGTGGTGCTCATATTCAAGAACTGATTTCCCACCCGTGATCAGGGCCCAGGCCACACAGGACCTGCACGTGTGTGAGACTCCACAGCTGGTCAGTGAGGGGACGTGTGCAACCCTTGTCTGCCTGCCCACAGCCAAGCCAGTGCCTCCACAGATGAGGGTTCTGTTTAAGTGACTTGGCCATCGTATGGCCTGCACTGTCCTCATGCCTCCAGGGAGTAATTCCCCTCGGTAGTCAAGCCTCCTCCTTACACCACAGGCACCGAGGGCTTATTGTGTGCCAGGCTTTGCTCTTGGTGCCTTTTGGTTGCCAAGGCCTCAGCGTCCTCACCTGTCTCCCTATGAGTCCCCCTCGCAGAGCATGGCAGAGACTGAGGAGTGAAGACATGTTAAGCTGTCAGACCAGTACCTGGCTTGTATGAAATGTCAGATCACTGTGAGTGTGACATGTAGAGGCTGTGTGACCTTGGATGAGTCACTTTCCTTCCCCAGGCCAAGGTGTCAATGGGATGGGGGGGGTCGGGTGATGTCCACCTGCTGCTCATTGGAATACCTGGGAACCTGAAATAAATCCCAGACCCAGACTCCAGTCTGGAAATTTGTCTCAGTTGCTCTGATGAGGGTCTGGGCATCTGAAGACTGATTACTCCAGAAGATTCTCAAACAGAGCCAGGGCTCACAACTCTTGAGAGATGACAACCCCTTAGATCAGAGGGGGAAAGTGGCTTTTAATCTACAGGTATTTTGGTCCCCCATGGCCCTGGGGTGTCAGAACTCCTTTTCAGTGTGACCGCTTCAGAATAGCACATGCCGGGCACAGCTCTTTGGGGTCTGCATGGCAGGGTGGGCACATCTCCCAGTCAGCAGCCCAGACAGTGTGCTGCTCAGACCCCAGCCTCAGTTGGAACTTCCCCATCTCACAGAGGTCTGCATCTGAACTGGTGCTGGAGCCCAGTGAATCCCCACTGTGAACACGACTCTCCCATGCCTCCCATGCCTCAATGTCACCCAATGTACTTTGTCCTCCCCCTTGCACAGAGCGTCCAGCTTTCTGTAAAGAGCTCCTCTGGGAAAATGCTGTGAATCTCTTTGTGATAAGAAAACCACTTCACAAACTCTGCTCCTGAGGAAATTATTAGTAGAACAGAGGGACCTTATACAGTGATTTTTGGCCCTTTCTCATTTCGATTTTTCATGGCAGCAACAGAAACAGGATGGAGACTGTTACTGGTGTTTCTCTGGTTTTGTTGTGCCTGCTGGCTATGTAAAGAATGAATGCGTGTGTAGTCATAGGTGTTATTCATCAAGCAACTACAATATAACACGTCACTGTGTTCAATCAATCCTTGCTCATCTTCCCAGGTTTGTGGTTTTTCCACTTTGTACAGACAGAGACACTGAGGCTCAGAAGATGAAGAACTGGTGTGTGGTGGTGTAGCTTAGTGGTAGAATGCTTGCCTGTCATATGCATGTCCCTAGTGTTGATCGCCAGCAACATACAAATACCACACACCAAGAGATCAGGACAACATTGTAAAATTAATCAGCTTGTGTGGCCTGATTACCTCCTTGTCCCCTTAGCCAGCCATGTCCCTCTCACAGCTTTGTCCCACAAGAAACTCACAATCTGTTGCTCTCACAGAGCTGGTTGAGTATGGAGGACCTTAGGGGTTCAGAAGGATCAGGCCAGCTCAGGATGCACAGAAACCCTTGATTAATCAACTAATTACAGACCCGGATGCCATCAGGATCTTGTGGCTGCTGCTATCTTGATGAGTTACTTCTTCAAGTGACACTTTCCTTATGTACCAGGAAGGTGCTTGAGTGCTGGCAGGTAGGAAGTAAAACATTCACAATTATCTGTGATATGGCTAGTCTAATGCCTGTTGGAGAATGGGCTGGGTAATAATTGGCCATCAGCAGACTCTGCCTCCCACTTCCCATCATGCATTTGTGTGCTCTCATGACCAGGAAGTGCCCCTGCCTGCTCAGAGCACCTGTATCTGGGGGATTTGTAGTTAATTAGGAATCCATCCTGGATTCCTCAGCACTCTGTGATCTGTGATCTGTGATCCTAACCCCAAACAGTCTCAGGAAAAGCACTCAGATTCAGAAAGCATCCTTTAACCTCTTACTTTCAAGTTCAGGACTGAGTATAGGTTAGACCCCTGGCGTGTTTGTGGAAAGAAGGAAAATCAAGGAGTGAGTCATAGGTTTCTGCAAGGAGAGCTCTGGATGGATGGAGTCTATATGGAAGGCAGGGCTGTGCATTCCTGTGTGAGAAGCAGGTCCTATGTGTTATGCAACATGAAAAGCTTCCAGGGCCTCACTTCATCCTCCTGTGGCCCAGGAATGAAAAAGATCACCGCCCATTTCACAGGCTCAGCACAGGGTTGTGGGCATTGCTCCCTTCGATGGCCAGCAGGGTTCCAGTGTTCCTGTTGTCCCGTGTTGTACTTTGTCCATTGTGTTCACTTCTAGAATTGCTTCACCTAGGATGGCAAAGGTGTCCAGGGGAGGCCAGCAGGGAGCAGTTAATACAAAACATGAGACAGGTCACTGTTTCCTTCCTGTGCCCAGATTGGTGGATCCCCTGGGGCAGAGAGAAGTTTGAACTCAGGCTGAAATTCACCTGGGCTTGCCCTTCCTCACTGTCTGTCTAGACAGGTGTGCTCACCTCTGGAGACAGTAGGACAAGGTCACAACAGGAGGATAAGGCAGAACCACACCCCAGCATTATTTGAGGTGTGTCTATGGCAGAGGTCTTAGCCAACTAGCAGAGAAAGTGCTTAGCATTCATGACTCCCTGAATTTGATCCCCAGCTCCTTACAAACACAAAATAATACTGTTTAGGAAGCTATCACAGCATCACTCCCGTGTGGTCAGGGGTGGCCATCACAATCATGTCTCTTGTCAAATGCTCTTTGTAGCCAGACCCTCTCCACCTATGGTATCGGGCCCTGGGACCAGGTCTACACCTGGGCAGACAGTGAGTTTCACCTGCAAGTCCCATGGCTTCTTCCCCCGGAATGTCGCCCTGAAGTGGTTCAAAAATGGGAAGGTGCTCTCCAACTTCCAGACCAATGTGGATCCCACAGGAGAAAGCGTGTCCTACCACATCTACAGCACAACCCAGGTGGCACTGCACCCCGGGGATGTCCGCTCTCAGGTCATCTGCGAGGTGGCCCATGTCACCTTGCAGGAGGCCCCTCTTCGTGGGACTGCCAACTTGTCTGACACCATCCGAGGTAGATGACCCTGACTCCTTACCCAAGTCCACACCTTGCCACTAAGCCTGCTCCTCCCCAGGGCTTTTGCCCGAGGGCCTGATGGCCTGGAACCTCATGCCTAGCAGGCCTGTCCCCTCCCGTGCACAGGAGGTCTCCTCCCTGTGCCATGCACTGTGCTGGTAGTTGTATTTATTTTTACTAAAAGCAGCTACAAGTATTGGATATCTAACGTGAGCTGAGCCCCAAGTGCTTGGTGGTTTTATTTACTTGCTATGTCTATTGCATCTGACTGCATGCCAGGGTTTGCACTTGTGGGTTTTACTCATTGCTACCCTAACAAGAACTAAAAGTCCTACTGTGTGCTGTACTCCCGATGTCATCCATGTGCACACCCTCAGTGTTGAGCCAGCACTGTCTTGGGTGATGCCCTTGGTGTGGTGGTGGGGGCGCAGCTCCCCAGGGTCCCTCTGGAATTTGCTGGGCCATAAGGTCAGAGCTCCCGCCTGTGCTGTTTCAGTTCCACCCACCTTGGAGGTCACCCAACAGCCCAGGATGACAGGCAACCAGGTGAACCTCACCTGCCAGGTGAAGAAATTCTACCCCCAGATCCTGCAGCTCACTTGGCTAGAGAACGGAAATGTGTCCCAGACAGAAACGGCCTCAACCCTCACAGAGAACAAGGATGGGACCTACAGTCAGACCAGCTGGCTCCTGGTCAACTCGTCTGCCCATAGGAAGAGCATGGTGTTCACCTGCCAGGTGGAGCATGACGGGCAGCCGGCGGCCACTGGAAACCTTTCTCTGGAGGTCGCTGCTGAGCAAAAGGAGCAGGGAATGGATACTACTCCTGGTAAGGTTGGACTCGAGCTGACTAGCTCTTTTAAAACTTTATCTCTTTCTAAGTGTTAAAAGTAATATTCATACTTATTATAGAAAAACCTCAAAGCCTAAAAATATAAGATTTCATTTTATTTTGTTAAATTATTCATTTATTCACATGTGCATACATTATTTGGGTCATTTCTTCCCCTTCCCCCCTCCCCCACTCTCTCCTCTCTTCCCCCCAGCCCACTTCCAGGCAGATCCTATTCTGCTCTTATCACTAATTTTGTTGAAGAAAAGACATAAGCATAATAAGGAAGACAAAGCGTTTTTGCTAGTTGAGATAAGGATAGCTATACAGAAATATTCCTAGCATTGCTTTCGTGTACACGTGTGTTTTATAACCCATGTTGATTCATCTCTAACTGATCTTTACACTGGTTCCTGATCCCCTTCTCATGTTAACCTCTGTTGCTTTAAGGTTTCTGTATTAGTTCCTTTGGAGAGTGGACATCAACCACTTTCATGTTTTGGGTTTTCTACTTATTCCTATATCTCCTGTATGTGCTCTCCCCTTGTCATGTGATCCAAGTTCAACCACATTGCTGCATTTGCCCTTGATCTAAAGTCCGCATATGAGGGAGAACATATGATTTTTGGTCTTCTGAGCCTGCCTGACCTCGCTCAGAATGATGTCTCCAGTTCCATCCATTTACCTGGAAATGATAAGATTTCATTCTTCATGGTTGCATAAAATTCCATTGTGTATAAATACCACATTTTCTTGGTCCATTCGTCAGTAGTGGGGAATCTTGGTTGTTTCCATAACTTGGCTATTGTGAATAGCACTGCAATAAACATGGGTGTGCAGGTACCTCTGGAGTAACCTGTGTTGCATTCCTTTGGTTATATCCCCAGGAGTGGTATTGCTGGATCATATGGCAGGTCTATGTTTAGATTTTTAAGAAGTCTCCAAATTTCTTTTCAGAGTGGTTGCACCAGCTTGCATTCCCACCAGCAGTGGACTAGGGTTCCTTTTTCCCCACATCCTCGCCAACTCATGTTGTTGTTGGTGTTTTTGATGATGGCTATTCTAACAGGGGTGAGGTGGAATCTTAGTGTGGTTTTGATTTGCATTTCCTTTATGGCTAGAGATGGTGAGCATTTTTTCATGTGTTTTTTGGCCATTTGAATTTCTTCTGAGAAAGTTCTGTTTAGTTCAGTTGCCCATTTTTTTATTGGTTCATTGATTTTAGGAGAGTTTAGTTTCTTAAGTTCCCTGTATATTCTGGTTATCAGTCCTTTGTCTGATGTGTAGCTGGCAAATATTTTCTCCCACTCTTTGGGTGGTCTCTTCAGTTTAGAGATCATTTCTTTTGTTGTGCAGAAGCTTTTTAATTTTGTGTAGTCCCATTTGTCCATTCTTTCTCTTAGTTGCTGGACTGCTGGGGTTTTATTGAGGAAGTCTGCCTATATCTATTTGTTCCAGAGTGTTTCCTGCTCCTTCCTGTAGTAACTTTAGAGTTCAGCCTTGATATTTAGGTCCTTGATCCATTTTGAGTTGATACTAGTACAAGGTGATAGACATGGATCTAGTTTCAGTTTCTTGCAGATGGGTAACCACTTTTCCCAGCAACATTTGTTGAAGAGGCTGTCTTTTCTCCATCATATATTTTTGGCACCTTTGTCAAAAATGAGGTGGGTATAGTTGTGTGGATTCATATCCAGGTCCTCTATTCTGTTCCACTGGTCTTCATGTCTGTTTTTGTGCCAGTACCATGCTGTTTTTATTACTATTGCTTTTGAAGTCAGGTATTGTGATATCTCCAGCATTGCTCTTTTTGCTGAGTATTTCCATGGCTATTCACAGTCTCTTGTGTTTCCAAATGAACTTTAGGGTAGATTTTTCAATCTTTGTGATGAAAGTCATTGGAATTTTGATGGGAATTTCATTAAACATGTAGATTGCTTTCGGTAGTATAGCCATTTTTACTATGTTGATTCTACCGATCCATGAGCACTGGAGATCTTTCTATCTTCTACAGTCTTCCTCGATCTCTTTCTTCAGGAGTTTGTAATGCTCCTTGTAGAGGTCATTCACACCCTTTGTTAAATTTACTCCTAGGTATTTGATTATTTTTTGAGGCTATTGTGAATGGAATTCTCAGTTTGTTTGTTGTTGGTGTATAGAAAAAGCTAATGATTTTTGTAAGTTGATTTTGTATCCTGCCACCTTGCCATAGCTGTTTACAGTGTCTAAGAGTTTTTGGGTAGAGTTTTTTGGGTCTTTAAGGTATAGGAATGGGAATAGTGGGCACCCTTTTCTCATTCCTGATTTTAGGGGGAATGGTTTCAGTTTTTTACTGTTAACTATGATGTTGGCTATAAGTTTGTCATATATAGCCTTTACAACGTTGAGGTATTTACATTCTATTCCTAGTTTTCTTAGAATTTTTATCATGAAGTGGAGTTGGATGTTGTCAAAGGATTTTTCTGCATCTGTTTAGATGATCAAGTGGTTTTTGTCTTTGCTTCTATTAGTGTGCGGTATTACATTTATAGATTTGTGTATGTTGAACCACCCCTGCATCCCTGGGATGAAGTCGACTTGGTCCTGGTGGATGATCTTTCTGCTGTGTTGTTGGAGTCAGTTAACCATTATTTTATTAAGGATTTTTACATCGATATTCATTAAGGAAATTGGCCTGTAGTTCTCCTTTTTGGAGGTGTCTTTGTCGGGTTTTGGGATGAGAGTAATATTGGCTTCATAAAATGAGTTAGGCAGTGTTTCTTCCCTTTCTATTTCTTACAACAGTTTAAGGAGAGTTGGTATTAGTTCTTTAAACATCTGGTAGAATTCAGCAGAGAATCCATCAGGTCCTGGACTTTTCTTTTTTGGTAGACTCTTGATTGCTGCTTCAATTTCTTTTTGTGTTATAGATCTATTCAGGTGATTAATTTCCTCTTGGTTCAGTTTTGGGTGGTTGTAAGTTTCTAGAAATCTGTCCATTTCTTCAAGATTTTCAAATTTATTAGAATATGGGTTCACAAAGTAGTCTCCGATGATTGACTGGATTTTTGTGGTGTTTGTTGTTATCTCCCCTTTTGCATTCCTGATTTTACTGATTTGGGTTTTCTCTCTCCTCATTTTAGTCAGGTTTGCCAGGGGTCTGTCAATCTTATTTATTTTTTCAAAGAACCAGCTTTTCGTTTCATTGATTCTTTGTATGTTTTTTTTTGTTTCTATTTCAGCCCTTATTTTAATTATTTGTTTCCTTCTTCTTGTTTTGGGATTTGCTTGTTCTTGTTTTTCTAGGAGTTTAGATGTAGTATTAGGTCATTGATTTGAGATCTTTCTGTCCTTTTAATATACTCACTCATGGCTATAAACTTTTCTCTCAGGACTGCCTTTGCTGTGTCCCATAGGTTCTGGTAGGTCATGTTTTCATTTTCATTAACTTCCAGAAACCTGTCAATTTCCTCTTTTATTTCATCAATGATCCATTTGTCATTGAGCAATGTGTTGTTCAGCTTCCAATTGTTTGCATGTTTTTTTACTGCTGTTTTTGTTGTTGAGTTCTAGTTTTAATGCATTGTGGTCAGATAGAATGCATGGGATTATTTCTGTTTTCTTATATTTGCTGAGGCTTGCTTTGTGCCCTAAGATATGATCAATTTTGGAGAAGGTTCCATGGGCTGCTGAGAAGAATGAATATTGTGCAGAAGTTGGATGAAGTATTTTGTAGACATCAGCTAGGTCCATTTGATCTATGGTGTGATTTAGTTCTAGGATTTCTTAATTGATTTTTTGTTTGGATGACCTATCTATTGATGATAGGGGGGTATTAAGGTCTCCCACTACCACTGTGTTGGAGTTTACATGTTTTTAGGTCCTTCAGAGTATGTTTGATGAAATCAGGTGCATTGACGTTGGGTGCATATACTTTTATGTTTTTTTGCATTCCAGCCACATAGGATTAGTCCTCCACTCCTTCCTAAGGATCCATCAGCACGATTTCATTTCTAAGAAACATATTTTAGTCATTGTTTTAAAAGCAAAAATAGTGCATTGTAGAAGTGCAAAGACCAGATATCTGCTTCCCCATCTGACTGTGACATCAGAGAGATTTCAGATGACATTGACACTAGAGTCAAAGGTGTCGCTGTAGTCAAGGCAACAGGTGTCATGCTAGGGATAATGAGTGAGGCCCCTCCCTAGTGAAAATTGAATCTTGTGCAATGGGGTCTGGCTAAACTCACAGCTCTGTTATCTCAGAGGCAGAGAGTTCCTGATAATTCGTCTCATGGGTGCAATGAATGCAACTCACAGACAACCGAGAGTGAGAGTAGAGACAAGAAATTTATTAAGAGAATGAACAAAGCTCCCACATTAGAAGGGGAGTGGAGGAGTGGTACCAAGTGTGGTGCCAGTGAATTTTGGGTCTGGGGACTTTTAACCTGTTTTGTCCTGGGAGTAGCATGTTTTCTATGATAATTAGGTGTGTGGAAAGCAGCATTTTGGTTGGCTGTGCCTGCAACCTTCTGATCAGACCATGGTCTCATCTATTCTCATTTAGTTCCTTCCTGCCCTTCCCCTTTCCCACCCACTTGAGTTCTGGCGCGGTGCGGGGGTGGATGCTAGGGAAATGGTTTCCTAAGGGGATGATGTCATCTTCCTTGTTTGTCTCAGTTACAGCAGTTACAATGGAAGTTTTCAGGGTCTCTTGGTCCTAAATACACCTGTCTGATTTCAGTTAATGACCTGGTCTGTTCTCAAGACAGCTACCAAGACACCTGTTGTGTTTACTCACCTGGGTGTTTTCCAGGCAATGGTTTCATTAGCTTGCCCCCCTTAAACGGCTCTCCAGCTTAACCCTGTGCTAAGTAGGGGACTTGGTAACTCTCTCCCGGTATAACCTTCTCACTCCATGTGCATGCTTTGTTCACAATTGTTCCTGTGCCCTGAGAGGCTGGAATTGCCTTGATTCCAGGAAAAAGTCTCAGAGATGACCCTACAAGACAGCAGTGATGGCTTCTCTGGGGTTAGGTCCCATGAATCTTGTGACCCTCCTTAAACTCTCTGCCTTGATTTCCCCATCAGGATGATAATACTTGCCCAAAAGAATTATGAGGATCAAAATGGAAATCATGTTCCACACATAGGCAATGTGTCACTGAGTATTCACCTCAACCAGTTCTCCTAGGAGGAAAACTTGATGGTTGAGGCAGGGCTGAGTTGGAGGGGCTGAGTGAAGAAGCCTGATTTTTGCCTCAGGCTTGAACTAGCACAGCCAGGACAGTGCCACATTCAAGATCTTCAGAGTTTGATGGAAATAAGGAGCCTCAGATGGGCAAATGAGGCTCCTGGGAAAAGACCCCAGTGAGCACTCTAAGACTTCTCCTGTTCTTTGGTTTCCAGGTGAAAGTACGTGTTCTATTCCTGCTGTTCTCCTCATCGCTCTGCTCCTCAGCACCAAGGTGTTGCTGGTGGTTGGAGTCTTTGCTGTCTACATCTGCAAGAAGCAGAAGGCCTAAGTGTAAGTTTGGGAGAGGGAATGCAGGCCAAGGGCTACTGAGGAAGGGGCTGGGTTACCAGGTGGCTAGTTCCCATCATACGCTGTCTGAGTCAGTGGAGTCTAGAGTAGGTGACACATGTCCCTCAGCACTTTGGGAGTCTCATGGAACTCTCTGACAGGCTCCAAGCTCCCAGGAATGTGGAAAGGTTGAAGGAGAGGAGAGGTCAAGGGTTTGCACAGGGTGTCCACAGAGTCAAAAGGCTTCATGGAGGAGTGGGCTGAGGGCTTGCAATGAGGAGCAAAGCACTGCCTGGTCCCTGTGGAGGTTACCTCTAGATTAGTTGACAGATGAGGATCCATGGAACAAGAATTAACCCAGAGTTTGCAGCAAAATTGGGAAGCTCCACACGGGCTACTCTGTGGGTTGTTCCTGTTCTGGCCATCTCTGTGACCAAGTAGAAAGGATAGATACAGAGTCAGGACACAAGCAGCAGGCTACGTTTGCATTCCTGTCCTAGGGGTGGCCTGTCCATTCATGTCAGGCATCCCAGGATGAGTACTGCACCAGGGATGTAGAGCATCCTGAAGACGATTCATGAATATAAGGAGCAGTCAATGTGACATATTTCTCCACAGCTCTTTCCTCCATCCCTTGCCTCACACTGCCCCTTGACTGGAGAGGCTCGGCATGGGACAGGAGTTGATGAGAAGCTTCTGTGGATTCTGATCCACATGCACTGCTCTATGGACACCGCTGGCTACAGGTTCCTGCTGCTCTTCTGCATGGCCCTTAATGTAGAGGAGATTCCTGTTCCTGAGCAGACACCTGAACTGGCTCTGGGCCTGACTCAGGACCCCTCCCGAAGATGTAAGAAACCAGCCGAGTGTGAGCACATCAGGGAATCTCTCATCCAAGGCCTCTAGGATCATCATGACACACTCTAGTGCACACCCTCCAGACTTCATCTGGCTTCAGGATTCTTGTGTACACCAGCTTCTCAGCCTGCTGAGGTTCTCAGATGAACCCCCATCATGGGTTTAAGGAGAAAAATTGTTCTCAGTACTGGCAGTGTGTCTCAAGCAGTAGAGCACTGCTTAGCAAACATGAGCCCCATGTTCAAACCCCAGTGCCATCAAAAAACCCAAAAGGTTACAGGAATAAAGAAAAGTTATTTCCTTCTTCTTTATCCATGTATCCAATTCCTTCGACCCCCCTTCACCAAAAGAATCTACTCTCCTCCTCTGAGATGAGAACACACTTTCCTGTCTTACCCTGCCTTCTTCCTAGTCCTATCAACAGTTGAAAAAAACCTTTGAATTTTCCTTCTTTCAGTTACTTTTTTTTTCAGTTAAAATGATAGTAAAGTGTGTTAGGAAAGGAATGTAGTATAATGGGATAAAAGTAGGGAGAAATGGGGAAAAGGAAGAAAGATCTCCTGATCCTCATGATGGAAATGGGTGCTTTCAGCTGCTTTTATACCCTATATTCAATTTGTCTCTCAAATGCTTATGTTCTGCACTGGAGGTATGGCTCAAGCAGTAGAGCACCTGCCTAGCAATGAGAAGCTCTGAGTTCAAAAACCAGTACTGCCAAAAAATTCTTAAGTCCAATGGAGAGTTCCCAAATGTTCAAACACTGACTCTGAATAGATTAAAAAATGCTGATTTGTATTGATTGTATATTCCCATTATATAAACAGTGAAAATATGGCTAGTTTCCAGATACCAATCCTTTAACAACCCAATTGCAAATTCCTGATAATTTCACAGTGGGCTCCCCTACACCTTTCCCACCCACCTCTGCAGAACATGGATCTATATGCACAGTCTGCACATGGCTCACCTCAGCCAGTTCCATCTCTTCTAGGACCATTATGGGAGCATCTAACCTCTTTACTGTGTCAACCACAGAGTCTCTGGAACTATGAGAACATATCACTCATTGACGTTTATAGTTCAACCTCAGTAACTTCCTCTGGCTGCCTGTGTTAACTCCCCCAGAGAAAGTAAGTGCTAACACATCACAGTCAGCTACATAGACTTCTGTAAGTCCACTTTCATTCAATTTGAATCTCACCTTCAACATTATATCTTATGGTTTCTGGATTGCACCTTCATCCTTTTGGCCTATTCCTTGTTTCAATTGTTCATTTCTGTAAAATGCACTGAGAATTATTGCTGGGAGACAAGGAGGCAACACAAGTTCAGGCTCTGCTGTCTTTTGTGAAGCTGAAGAAGACACTCAAGGGACCAGCCAATACCAGCAGACTTAGAAAGTAGAAATGTGACTGATCTTTGATCATCATAAGAACTTGTTATGCACATAGTGATTTGTGCACTGAAGATTCAGCCTGGAAGATCATGTGTTATGCAATCGCAGATGTTTACTGTGCTAATTAAAATTTGAGCCATGTAATGAGGGCACAAGTGGTATTAATTATGGTCACTAAAATTCGTCTGTATCAACACAAAGTGAAACCACCTTTATTTGTCTTTCTTCACTAGCTCTGACAGAGAAGGGACCATCTATCACCTCAGTAGCCAGAAGAGATCTGAAAAAGTGTAGATTTCCAAAAACCTTATAAAATAAGTGAGGAAATGTCATTGAGGATGTTGGTTTCTCCTAAATGTGGAATTTCAAATTAACACTTTTTCTTATTCAATAACTAGCAGGAATAAGGAAAGGGAAGACAATGTCTCTGAGAGCATATTTGAACTCAGATTTTGGTATCTGAGGGACACAAATGTAGACATCATGTGGGTTGCAGATTATACAGATCTCCATCATGGACTTAAGATTTCTCAGCTACTACAAGGTAGATTCAGGATGTGAATCCAGAGTGTATCTGGCTCCAAAGCTGGTGCTGTTGACTATCTCTCTTTAGAATGACACTCCAGAGAGAGTGTGGAATATATTAAGAGATGGTAAGTTTCTTGGGCATGGGAAGAAGGGTGGGATAATGGAGGCTGGATTTGCATTCCAGTTGGAATTCATCTGTGCATAGTTATGGATAGGAAAGTGATGTCATTGGAGGAAGGAGAGTCGCGTAATCTCACAGAGATATCCAGGATTTGCTTTGCTTTTTACTCTTCTATCACTGGTTCCTGGCCTTGATATCTAGTGGGACCATAAGGAGGTAGCAGAGATCACAAGGAGGCCATGTGGAAAAGGTTATAGAAACAAGTACCTGGTGATGAAGGCTTAGGCATTTAAGGTCACCAGCTAAGTGTGGGTTGGGAGTCTCAGGACATTACTATTTTGCTTGGGTAAATCCATTCCAGAGGTGGGAATGACATGGGCCAATATGTTGTTCCTCCCTCATTCTGGGAGGCTTTCCCCCCCCAACCTTTTCCACTCTCTGTCTCAAGAGTTGGTCCCTGACCCAGCACAGAAAACAGGAGCCCTGACTCTCCCTGATATGTTCTCTAGACACATAGCTGTTCCTCCTGGAGAGATTCCCCACACCTAAATCTCCTTTAGAGCCCCTTGCATCCACTGAAGCACAAATCTTTGCCATCTCCAAAACTCTAATCCCTTTCTAAGCCACTCTGACTCCTCTGCAGGAAGGAGAAAGGAAGTGTCTTCCAGTATTATATGAAGCATTCCACAGCAAAGTCAGGAGAACCACAGACATTCCGTCAGGGTAACTGATAAAATGTTGCAGAGATTTGAGTGGCAGCGCAATATTGGCCAGATGTGGTCACTTCTAGTCTTTTCAGGTCAATGATGGAAGCCAAGCTCTGCTTATTCTGCTTTTATATGTTGAAAAACCTTAGCAGGCATGTGAAATCTCTTCCTCTAGCTCATTGATTGAGGTTGTTAGAGGCTTTGAGTCCCTAAAACCTCATTATTGAGCTAATTGAGGTGTTGAAAAGATGAAGATGGAGCAAGTTTAATATCTGAGGATGACAATGGTGTAGAAAGGCCTATGTTTTTGAGGTGATAACAGAATATATGAGATACCCAGGACCATTTGGAATTTTTACTGAACATGAATTCCATGCAATCTTTTCCAAAATAATGGAAGAAGAGGGGACACTTCCCAGCTCATTTTATGTGGCAATTTTTACTTCAGGAACAAAAGTAGGTAAATACTTCATTAAAGGGGTAAAGAAAACTATACACCAATATTTCTCATGATTTTAGTTTCAAAAATCCTCAATAAGGGCCGAGAGTGTGGACCAAGTGGAGATCACCTACCTAGCAAGCATGAGACACTGAGTTCAAATCTCTGTACTGCCATAAAGAACAATTCAACAGAGTTTCTGAGAAAAAATCAAACAGAAATCATGGTAATGAAAAGCTCCATAAATGAAATAAAAATCGAAAGCCTCATCAAAAGACTAGATCAAGGAACTTGCCCACCTTCTCATCTTGAGGTATAATTCCACTTTTCTAATAAGTCAGTCTTTACCATATTCTTATTTTTCCTGGTTCTTTTACTACACTTGGAGCAGCATCCTAATCCTAGATATTGTATGCAAGAACTGAGAAACACTGGAATACTCCATCCAAAAGCAACATTTTGTTGCCATGACTCAGATCTGCTAAAGGGGTTACAGAGTATTGCCATCTTCAGACAATTCTAACAAATTCCCACCAGTACCTTTACACCCCTGAATATGATGGCCACTTTGTTTTGTAACAACTAAAGACCTCAGGTCAAACGATGGAAAGGCCTTGTTCTCAGCAACTATTGCTGCCTGAGCATAATCAACTTTCCTGTGTCCTGACAGAGCAAGACTCTGGACCTTAAGTACCTCCTCTACTCCCTGTCAACAAGAAGTAGACAGATGGATCTCACTCTCCACACCCTTAAAATAATTCAGTGTCCTCACTTCCTCAGAGGGGGTATGTTAGTGTAAGTAGATACATATACACAAGCTAGAATGGAGAAATGCCTCAGGTTATCAGACTTTTTCCTAAAACCCCCATATGACCCGCAACCTGGATCAAAGTTAAAGGTACATAGGACTCTATGTTCTCTTTATGGAGCCCACCCACTTTCCATGTCAAGT